AATTATTAGTGAAAATTTTTGTAAACTTGGTTGTTATTTAACTTATAAACAAAGCTTCTATTCTTGTTGATTATGCTGATCCAGAATATGAACATGAACTTTCATCTTTAATTACAATACATTATATTATTTCACAAGAACGTTTTAAAACTTTATTAAAATTAACGAACAATAAAATTAATTTTGAAGAACTTTCTACAATTATTCTTCCAAAACAACAAGCGTAAATCACTACAGATTTAAAAAGTTCTTTTTCCCTTAATTAGAAAATCAAATATTTTTTTGTAGAATTGAATGTAAAACTTTGCTTGATTCATTTCATCAACGTATTAATTATCGACAGAAACGTTTTAAACGCATTGAAAATTTACAAAAACTTCTTCTTTCATCCATATCAACTGAAAAATTTCTAGAAATGATTTCAGACTTAGGTATAGAATATTTTACTCATATTATTCCTAACAGTTAGTTATGATATATATATTACAGAGTATTTTAAGGAGAAGGATGTTTTTCTATTCCTTACAATATGCTTCTGAAATTAGCCACTTTGTAGAATACCTTCAAGTGTCTGAATATGACAATCTCTTTCGAGTTGAGTCACATATAATAGAAGTCATAAGGTTTGCAAAAATAGATTTTTTCTTCTTAAAAGAATCATTCACTAAGGTTGCCTTTATGAGGTAACATATTGTTCTTTTAGAAAAAATGACGTTTTCTTGAAGACAGAGGTAAGAAAAAACAAATTTTAATTCTAAAATTTAGACATACTGATTAATCTTGTTTTTATAATTCTTCAATACAACGTCCCACTATCCTGTAACGTAGAGACTAAATACTTGGAGAGTAGGCACTTGTACATAGAAAATTTCATTGGAAACTAATGATGTTATAGCGGATAATTTAATGTTTTATGAAGTCTGCATTTTTCATACTATACTACACTCAACTGTCAAGACGCTGGGAGGTACTCTCTACAGTCTGATCAAATTTGAGAGCATGTTCTAGAAGAAAAGACCTTCTCTTACATAACACAAACAAAAATTTCTTTCTTGTTTTCTTAGTGTCACCTAATCATTTACATATTCTCGATCCAATTATTGAAAAATATTCTATATTTTTAACAACAATTATTATAAGAATTATTT